GTTTTATGTCCAAGTTTATTGAAGCGAAATAGATATAAATCGCAAGTCTAAAAGCTTATAACACTAAAAAACGTGTTTTGAAACTTGCATTGGGCAAAGCTCAAATAGTCTGTTGTGTAGCTTTCTGCTTAACAACCAACAAAAATTAATAATATAATCCCAGAATATTCATTGTACAATTACACAGAAGACACTTTTCATTTACTTAATATTAGCAGAGCATAAAGCAATGTTATTTATTGGTTGCTATAAAACAGATTTCAATTTTGGGTGAAAAAATGTTCATTAACTATCTTAATTTCTCAAGTCTGTGTGATAAGATATAATATGAATACTGAAGAGAAATTTTTTGATACAAACTTTTCTCTAAGTTTATTAATGTGAACAGCTTTACAATGCAAATGATTTTTTTAAAGCAATTAAAAGTGCAAATTTCAGCCCATAGGAACAGCTTCAGGCAATATGTGGTTAACAACATACATCTTTTAGTACTCAGAAATCTGTTAGTTGGTCCTGAACTTAACTCTGCTATTTAATCAGTCCTATAGATGTTCAATTACATGGTTCTGGCAACATTTTAATTTTCCTAAGAGACTGTAATAGTCTTATTATTCCTTCTAATAGTTTTGTGAATAGTATATTATTTTTTTATATAAGAAACTTTTCATAATTACAAAAGCTGGAAGAACTGAATTATAAGATATAATAACTAAAGTTTGTATGTTATGTTTTAATGACATAGCATAAAAACCTGGGGATCCTCACAACACTAAGAATAGGACATGACAACACTGGAATATCTCCCAAGTGGATGGTAGAGCATGTCGTGGTTCGAAATGAAATTACAGGGCATGCTTACAAGTAAGCTTATCTTTTTCATAGTTTGATCAATTTTTCAGTTTTGTTTATTAAAGTGTTCATTAAACTTATGTATAATAAAACTTCATAGTTTGGTCCTAGTAAATATTGAAAATAAATAAACTTTTGTGTCTGAAAGATAAATGTAGAGAACAAGTGCACCTTGAACAGGTAGCAGATAAAGTTTGACATAAACCATCATGTGTGTGAGTGTATAATCATAAAATATTAGTTTTCCAACCAGCAAAAGTTTTTGTTATAGATTTTCTTTTTTGATAAAAGATTTCCTTGTGGAAGATGGCTTGGAAAAGGAGTGGATGATGGCAGCACAGAACGTCTTCTGGTGGGAGAGCTTGTTCCAGCTGATATAGATAATGAAGGTAAGTTTCTTTTAACTACATCTTGAAAACTTTGATCAATCAGTCATATATCACAAGTTATTAGTTGTAGAAGAAGAAAGTTTGTTTTTTATAATTTCTGAGAAGCTGTTGACATATTTCAGCATTATTTAAGCTGTAGAAATTTGGAATGTTGGTTAGGTGCTGTGTAAGTAAAACTTCAACATGTATTATAATGTATATGTCTTGTATAAATGTAAGTTTTAAATATTTTATTGTTGCAACTAAGTGATCAGATTACAGTTATGATTTTTTTTAATATAGCAGTCCTTCCAACTTATATAAGTAAATAACTTATTATTTTGAAGTAATACAGTGATTTTGTTTACACAGTTGCAGAAGTAAAAAGTATATTTGTGTTAAAAAATGAATGGGACTTCTGTTAATTTCTAATAACTGTTGAGGATAGGGATAAGAAATATACTGATTAACCTAAAATAACAGATGTTATATCATAGTATTGTAATGTGTTTTTTTTCTATGATGTGCTTAAGAGTTGCATTTTTCTTGTTTCCAGAACTAACAGAAACTTGTAGAACACCACCACGATGTAGATCACCTAGTGTTCCCAGGAGACCCAGTGAGCCAAGTAAAAAAGACCATTACATATTATTACTTAGATTTTAAAGTCTTCCTTCTCAGCAGGCCCGGCATGGCCAGGTGGTTAGGGTGCTCGACTCGCAATCTGAGGGTCACGGGTTCGATTCCCCATCACACCAAACATGCTCGCCCTTTCAGCCATGGTGGCATTATAATGTGATGGTCAGTCCCACTATTCATTGGTAAAAGAGTAGCCCAAGAGTTGGCAGTGGGTGGTGATGACTAGCTGCCTTCCCACTAGTCTTACACTGCTAAATTAGGGATAGCTAGTGCAGATAGCCATCGTGTAGCTTTGAGCAAAATTCAAAAACAAACAACCTTCTCAGCAGTTTTTTTTTCCAGTAAAAGTAGTGTTTTGGTGCACTTGGTTTTATCAAGTGTGAGAACTTTATTTATATACAGTGAAACTTTCAAGATGCCTTGTGTACAAAATTTAACTTGATGGATAAATTGGGATTTATTTATCATATGATTGCTTTTCCATACAGATTTAAGTTGTGACTTCATAGATTTTGTTCCTGTAATAATACATGAGAACATAGATTACATTTTCCCCATATCAAGAACTTTACATGGAGAATAAAATCCTTCCCCACTTTGTCTATCAAAAGCTTGGTGTTTGAATAGATTCTCAACTTTTATTATTTAACTTTTTCTTTAGTTAATTTGAGAATACTACTTTTATGACTATTTTACAATAGTGTAACATTTTACGATTGGAAATTCTGGTTCTATTTGTTTTGTCAGTGAGGAATTTTATTCTCCATGTAAAGTTGAGATGGTTTAGTCTGCTATGTGATCATTAGCTGGATCAAGTGATATGTCCTCTTCCATCCGTATCCTGTTTGGTTCCTTTTTTCTAAGTTCAGTAGCCA